GTTCTCAACCTGTGGGTCGCGACCCCTTTGGCGGTCGAACGACCCTTTCACAGGGGGCGCCTAAGACCATCCTGCATATCAGATATTTACATTACGATTCATAACAGTAGCAACATGACAGTTATGAAGTAGCAACGAAAATAATTTTATGGTTGGGTCACAACATGAGGAACTGTATTTAAAGGGCCAGAAGGTTGAGAACCACTGCCATAACTCCTGGCTGTGAAAGCCAGAGGGAATTGTGGCTGAGTGGGACAGAGGGATGCTGGAGTCCCAGGCATTCTTAAAAGCCCACACACAGACTCACTGGGACTCACTGGCTCTGAGCTCAACACAGACAGCAGCACAAAAGGACCTACAGGAAGAAATGAGGAGTCTGGCATCAGGGACAGCTAGACCGGCAGCTTTCTCCAGACAGAAGTGCTGGCAGAGGCCGTTGTTCCTTTGCGTAGCCCTCCCCTGCACAGAGCCGGCAGGCAGGCGCCATATCCGAGTCTCCATCAACCTGGCTAACACTGCTCACCAAGGCCGCCTAACTTTGGGGCCCACTCAAGCCAATTCCAGTGGCTTTTCCATACAAACAGCCTGTCTTGGTTCATACTGCAAACTTTCCTAAAATCACTCAAAGGTTCACAAACCCCAAACTAGCAGCATCTGGCCTTGGTGAGGTGCCCTGTACCTCTCGCTAAGCAGCCCAAGCCTGGCACTAGAGGTAGGCAGTCTCGGTTCTCTCCCGGCATCTGCAAGCCCAGCACAAGTGGCGATCCTCTACAGATCACTTTGTAGCTCACACCAAGGAACCCTGAGCAGGGCACAGGCAGTTTCTGACCTTGGCCTGTACCTCCCCTGAACCAATATACCTGATGGCCAGCTTTAGACCACACTAGTACCACTCAACCACCTCTGCAAACAATACGTTCAAAAGGCAGACTTGGCGGGTACTAGAGCTCCACTACAGCAAATCCTGCTCTGTAGCCAGTCCCTGCACAACAGCTCCTCCACTGTAGCCAGTTCTCACAACCAATCATCCTGAGGGTCAGCCCCTCCCATTGACATGCCAACAGCAATCCCTCAACTATGACAGGAGGCACATATATCCCACACAAGGGACATACCTGGAGCACCTGGTTCAGGTGACTAGGGAGACTGCACCACTGGGCCCCACAGGAACATAGAAAACCTATTACATAAGGCCACTCTATCAAGACTGGGAAACTAGCAGTTCTACCTAATACATAGAAATAAACACAAGGAGGCAGCCAAAATGAAGAGACAAAGAATCATGTCCCAAATAAAAGGAGAGAAGAAAACTCCAGAAAAAGAACTAAACAAATATTGAGACAAGCAATCTACCAGATGCAGAGTTCAAAACACTGCTTATAAGGATGCTCAATGATCTCAGTGAGAACTTTAACAAAGGGATAAGAAACATAAAAATAAAGATAGAGAACAAGTCAGAAATGAAGAATAATTAAAGGGTCGCAGCATTAGGAAGGTTGAGAACCACTGCATTAGAGGGAATCAACAATAAGTTAGATAAAGCAGAGGATTGAATCAGTGATTTAAAAGATAAGGTAGCAGAAAATGTCCAATCGAGCCCTAATCGGTTTGGCTCAGTGGATACAGCCTTGGCCTGTAGACTGAAGGGTCCCGGGTTCGATTCCAATCAAGGGCACATGCCTGGGTTGCAGGCTCAATCCCCAGTAGGTGGTGTGCAGGAGGCAGCCAATCAATGATTCTCCTGTGGACTGAAGGGTCCCGGGTTCGATTCCAATCAAGGGCACATGCCTGGGTTGCAGGCTCAATCCCCAGTAGGTGGTGTGCAGGAGGCAGCCAATCAATGATTCTCATCATTGATGTTTCTATCTCTCTATTCCTCTACCTTTCTCTCTAAAATCAATAAATATATATTTAAAAAAGAGAAAATGTCCAATCGAAACAGTGAAAAGAAAAAAAAATTTTTTTTAATGAAGATATTATTGTGAAATTAATCATCAGAGCATGCAAGTATAAACTGCATGCACTCCCTGTACATATTTAGAGGGTTCATAAATACTGTGGCAGATGCAAAGGGAACTCTGGTCTCATTTCCACCAGAATCCTCTTTCCCTCATACATATAATCCTTATTCTGCTGCTCATTTATCCACAGAAGAGAGGTAGTGGGAGTGGCTCTTATACCCAAGGATTTGTACTCTATGTTTACTTTCATTTCTAAGAACTAAAAGCAACATAAAGAAAAATACCTCCTGACCAGAGCTGACTCAAGAGAGCCAAACACAACCCGAGTGTGTTATTCACCCAGACCTGTTTGTTGCTACTTCCTTCCCCTAAGGCCCCTTTAAAGAGGCCAGTGACCTGGAGCCTGCAAACAGAACCCTGTGGGTGCATTTCTTGTGGGATGGTGACTTCACATCTGTCTCTAAAAATCAGGCAGGGAAATTTGAGCTAGGCCAAGTCCTTTGGTCTTATGGTCTGTGGATTGCAAATCTTACTAATCACAAAGCTGTGGCTACGGAGGGGAAAAGCAGTTATGTGACAAGTAAAATGAGTTGAAGGAGTTCACTGTGGCTCCCTGAGCTTGTACCCATCCCCTTGCTACATCCAGGGCACAGGAGAATGGTGGCTGAAGTGAAAATGGGTCTAATCATCTGGTTTCTCAACTGATTAATCACAAAGACTTCCAGCTAGTGTCACAAAGTGAAAAGGTCAATGATCCATCCTATATAATAAAAGCCTAATATGCTAAGTGTCCAGTCATCCGTTCAACCAATCAAAGCATAATATGCTAATGATATGCTAAGGCCACTCAACCACTTGCTATGACATGCACTGACCACCAGGGGGCAGACAGTCAACCAGTCGCTATGAAGTGCACTGACCACCAGGGTCAGACGCTCTGGCCAGTAGGTTAGCTTACTGCTGGGGTCTGGATGATCAGGACTGAGCCAGACATGCCCTGGAGCCCTCTTGCGGTCCCTCCCCAGCCAACCTCCTGCTTCCTTCCCTGGCCCTGATTGTGCACTGGTGGGGTCTCTCCGCCTGGCCTGTGCCCTCTTGCAATCTGGGACCTCTCGGGGGATGTCAGAGAGCTGGTTTTGGCCCGATCCCGCAGGCCAGGCCGAAGGACCCCACTGGTGCACGAATTCATGCACCGCGCCTCTAGTTTAATAATAAGAGCAGTTCGACTATGTTAAAAGCATAATTATAATTTGTTTTGATTTAATTTAATAATTGATTTTATTAATTCCTATTAAAAACAAAATATGGCCAGGCTATTTCCAGTTCTGGGCAAATCTGGGTGCAAAGGTCCCTCACTACTTTTGACAACTTTGAACATGGTTAAGCTGCTTTTAAATGAGTCCATTCTCACCCTGGCTGGCTCAGTTGGCTGGGTGTTGTCCCTTGCATGGAGAGGTTGCCTGTTCATTTCCCCAGTTGGGGCACATGCCTGGGTTACAGCCTTCAAGAGGCAGCTGATTAATGTTTCACTTTCACATTCATGTTTCCCTCTCTCTCTCTCTCTCTAAAAATCGTAGAAAATAAAAAATAAAGGCATACATTATTTTTGCCCAATAAGCAAAGCAAATTCTCAGGATTCACTGGACAAATAACTTAAGCGCTCACTGAGTGTCTTGCATGTGCCTGGACACCAGGTCACTGGGAAGACACCTGTAGTTAGACTACTCCCCACTCCCCCCTCCGTTTATGGCATTCAATGCTTCTCATCAATCCCCTTCAAACATTGTCCGGAAAGTGCCAGATAGGTATTTTAAGGGCTACACACCATAGGCCATATGGTTCCTGTTATAACTATTTGACTCTGCCCTTGTCCCATGAAAGCAGCCTTAGACAATAATAAACAAATGGCCCTGTTTGTATTCCAATAAAACTTTATTTACAAAAACAGCGGGTCCTGCAGTAAAATTGTGTTATATAAGTAATAGGGCTTTAGAATCTTTAATAGCAAGTTTTGTTTTGTTTTCATTATTATTGTTGCTCTTGTAACGAGTTTTATTTTTAGTTGGGGGTTTAATCTAACTATATCTGGAAAAATTGGTTGGTTGTCAGTACAGCTTTGCAAAAACTTCCTTCATCTCACAGGTGGTTTTATTTTACAAAAGTCTACATTATAAAAATAGATGAACTTGATCAACTTTTTAGCCCATTTAACAGTGCAGGGTAAGTCATCCACCTATTGTTCAGTGAAACCCAGGAAACTACACCCTCTTATCATCTGCCGCTACAAGGCTAGCTCTTTAGCTGCCTGAGATTAGAATCTCATCATCTCTCAGTGTGGATGCCCGCCAACCTCTCAAACACTGAAAAGGGAATAAAGCTCTGAAAATAAAAAGCCACAACTATTTAGTGAACATTTCATATATGTCAGAGGTGGGGGAGGATGGAAGAGAGGGGATATAAAACCTCATTCATCTCAATATTATAAAGTGAGTGATGTCCTGTTTTACGGATGAGGGTCAGTGACTGCCAACTTCATAGAGCTAAGTAAGGAATCGGGGGCTACGTGCTGTCTTTTCTCTGCCCCCAACATTCTTTCTATTCAATTTTCAAGTTCTTCTCTTATACCTTACTTCCCCTGCATCCTCAGGAATCTCTGGCCCCTCCACCCCTCCCTAGTCTCACAGCCTAAAACATTTTTCTG